CTGCCAGCTTCTCACATGAACATGTTCATGCCAAAGGCAATAACACGTGGCCGGTGATACGTTTCTTGGGCAGGAGATCCAGCCTCACCTTCCATTTGTTCCCGCGCGTGGACTTCGCTTTGGCTCTGGCCTGGGCAGGGCGAGGAGAGCTTTAAAAGGTCGTGATGCATGGAAAGCTTGTCGAGCTGCATTGCTGAACTGTCGAATGCGTGTTGAAGCAAAAGCGATATGGTAGGCTCCCCGATTTTCGTGGATGCCCCAGTCTGGACGAAGAGCCGTCAGGCTATGAACGACAGTTTTAAATTCTGTCGATCTATGCAGCCAGAGCACATTGCGGAAAAGGCCAACCATGATATACACGTCATCTCGGGAAAGAACCATGCTGAAGTGATTTGTCCGTATATACGATGAAGTATAACTGAGAACCCTTTTCAGCTCCTTGCAAGCTGCGGAACTAAGTGCAGGCGTCCTTGGACAGCATCCCGAGCAATGCATGCTACAGGTAATTCAGGCCTTTGTAGAGCTTCTATCAGATCTTTATGAAGGCTATAGCCAAAGTTTTGAGAAACCTCTGAAAGTAATGTAGGTCGAAAATAAATACAGAACACCTGAACCCTGTACTGTATATTCTTGGTATACCACCGACATACCTTACCATTGGACTGGGGATGTTGTCAAGCTGTTATATATAGAGTCAACATAATACAAGTACAACGTTCAGACGATTGTGATCATCAAGGGCTTCGATGTGGCATTGCTCGAAACTATAGGACTGCACCACTCCTCTAAGCACAAGCCCATGCTACGCGGGGGGGTGTCGTTGTCACCCCACAAGCTGACTTTCATCAACTTGCATCCCAACCACAACCGGCACACCTACGCTCGAAAAGCTCGTGCACAGTAGCAGTGCAAAAACCTATTTGCCATCGAAGTTCATTGTTGGGCAAAGCTGCCGAACCACACAAAACTCACTTCTTGCTTGGGGCGATGACCTGCTGCAAGTACTTCTTGCAGCACTTCTCCACATGGCTGACCACGTTGTCCTCGTCGATCTTCGCTTTCGTTTTCTGCATCTGCGTCATACAATACATCCAAAAGGGGTCCTTCGGGCGTATAGCTAGGTTGTTGTGGTAAAACGAAAACCCACACAGAATGGATTGATTAACATATATACCCAACTGTATAAGCTACAGACTTAGAACATATCCCTTGCATAAAAAAACATATAGCATATAGCCCATATCCTCGTAAAGGCTGGGGCTGCCCGAAATCTGGGGCTTGATCTGCGACCGGAAGCAATTTCTGATTGCCTCCCACCGCTTCGCCTTGAAAGGCGTGGCCGGCCTGTACCGCCTGGCGAAAGTAGGCTCGCCGTTGGCTGCTTGAGCCCTCTTGTTGCTGAAGCCCGCACAATCCGGCAACCTCTTGCGCTTTGCCACAGGCGCCTCATCTGCGGACTTCGCATTCTTGGAAGCCCTACCCTTAGCCTTAGCCTTAGCCTTGGGCTTGCTCTTCGTGTCCTTCGACTTGGTCTTCGGCTCCACTTCGCCGTCGATCGTCGGCTCCTTGCGCTTTCTGTTGGTCTTCGGCTCCACGTCGCCCTCGCTCGTCGGCTCCTTTCGCTTTCGGTTGGTCTTCGGCTCCATGTCGCTCTTCGGGTCGTCGGCCTTGGACGGGTTCTTTGTGCTCTTGCGCTCCTTGATGGTGCTCTCCGGCTCCGTCACGGGCTCACGCTTAGATGCCTTTTTGGGCGTCTCGTACCAGTAATCGCCTGGCGCTTCATACCAAGCCATCCACTCCTCCACCGAGTAGTCGGCTTCAGCAGCCTCGCCATCCGCTGCCGCATCGGCAGATGAAGGGCCTCCGCGGCCGCGGCCGCGTCCACGGCCCCCTCGACCGCCACCACGGCCGCGAGTTCCACGACCGTCCTTCTCCTTCCTCAGCTGCTTCAACTTGAGCTGAGCGATCCTATCGACCGTTGGGTCCGTCTCCAATGGCTCCTGCACGAAACAAGTTTCTAAAAGCACTAGCAAAATAAGCGGGAACCCTATAAACCCCTATATAACCTGAAACCCGAAGTTCCTTAAACCCTTTCTAAATACACACAAGCAATTGTATCGATCCTTTATACAAGGATCGATACAATTGCATCCGTAGCCAACCATATATATAATATATTAGCTATATCCTCTAAACTCCGCTCCTTGTCAGGGGTGAAAACCTCGGGCGTCTTACTGCTGAAGGTTTCAGGCGAAGGGGGGTTGCCAGGCAATGGCTTGGTGACCTGGCCCTTGCCCTGGTACTCCAATCTGCGATGCTCAACACTTCGGCTGGGACTATCATGACTTGTCTGCTCAGGCGGGGTGTCAGCAGCATCCATATCGTAAGGCAGCGTGTCGGCAGCATCCATACAACCTTTGGACAAACACATTTTTCATCACTTACTTTTTGGACCCTCGGTTCTCTCTGTATATCTATCTCTCTCGTGCTCTTTTTTCGATCGTTCTGGAACAGTATATATACTACATACATACATACCCATTAATTGTGGAAGAAATACATAACAAGCATCTCTCACTATACCTTCTCGCCTGTCGGTACCACAGCAGCAGCAGCAGCAGCCGGCTCAGCCGGCTTGGCCACAGGACTGGTGATCCTGTCCCGCTTCGCACGCAACCTGATGATCGGTTATGTACGTGATACATGGGATATATAGTCGATCGATCGATTATAAAAAATATGCCACCAGAATGCTTCCACTTATACTCGAATCTGCAAGGAAGAAACATCTCCAATCGATCTTTGATCTGCTGGATGCGCTGTTCTTTCAAAGCCTTCTCGCCTCGACCCGGTGATCCGAATACCCAATCAAAGAAATGACTCCAAGCGAACTGAACCTCACGAGGAAACTTAACTAAGATTGTCACTTGCAGTCGGCTCCACCCCAGGGACAAAGGTTGTCTTAACTGGCACTGTTACGACTGCTCCCGGCCCACTGTTCTCGTTCGGCACTTTCACGCATGGACCCGGCCCACTGTTCTCGTTTGGCACTTCCACGGCTTCCACGGGTGGACACGCAACCGGTGCCGGCCCACTGTCCTCTGCCGGCACACTGCCCTCGTCCGGCACCTCAACGATCTGCAGGGGAGCCATGCCCACATCGGACGAGTCGGCATACTCATCCGTCTGCTCTGACCCCTCACACGCCGCCTGAAAGTCAGACAGGTGACTGGCGAGGTCACTGCAATCGTCCTCACCATCGTCGTCGTAAGCATCCTCATCGCTCTCGACTTGGGGGTCCTTCCATGCACAAAGAAAATAAAGTGGACCCTTATCCAGACCCATACATGAATCGGAGAATACATGACGATATATGTACTCAAGTCCTCAGCTGCGGTTGCCGCCTTCGCGGCACGTCGTCGCTGAAGGGACTCGTTGATCTGGTCCACGATGCCCTCCACAACTATATCAAATACTATATACGATGTTTTTTCTATACAGCATGGGACTCCACACTGTGTGTGTACTAAACACACCCACCCCCAAAGCCCCCCAACTCCTGCAAGTCGGGGTCCAAGGCCAAGCACAATTCTTGGAAGTCGGGATCCTTGATCGTGTTTATAGAAAGGATCGAAAAGTAAATCGTTACATTTAACCGCAGATATACAGGTCATTCCAGCTACATATGTAGTCTGACATTGCGCGATTGCCAGGACCATCTATTTTTAAGCCAGGCAGCATTCGACACCTCTTGACGTCGACATTTCATCTTGATGAAACCGCAGTTCTTACGGATTAGCCAAGCAGACTTCTGAATATCCTCCTCTGTTGGGTCTCGCTTGTTCAGTTGCATGAGCAATCGAACCTCGCATCGAAACGCCTCGATACTCGGTAGTTTCTTGTTGGCTTCCCGCATGCGATTGAGTATCGGCAAAAGCAGGAATCTGTGCTTCTTCGGCATCTTGATATCCACTTGCTTTTCCGATACTTCCACGATCAGGTTCTGACCTCTGCGCAGACCCTCACGTAAGCTTTCGATGGCATCCCATTCGGCCGCTAGACCGTCAAGCGAACACTCGGCCATGGCTTCAAGGACACAAAATGTGCCCCGTGAATCCCTTCAACCTATATAGACCCGCAAAATCCTTGAGATCACAACGATCGAGTTGTCGGAAGGAAGCTTGTGCACATGCGATACACATACTGCCCGAACGAGAGGAGAAGATGAGCGCTGGACCATGCAGCGGCATTTGTCGCCAGCCGTGGCAAAATGGCCGTTGGCTCGCTCGCCATGATATAATTACGAGAGCTGTCGGTAGATTTTTAACATCACTTGAGAAGTCTGCAAATCCACGGGGTGTGGCATTCTCAATTAGTGGGGTGAAGGCTAGAGTTGTTGGCTCTCGAATTTCGCACCAGCTTCTTTCTCATAGCACCCTCTCTACTTTAATGGATCGAAGGCGCTCATGTGCATGATCATATCAAGCTGTGTGGCAGCTAGCGACACCTGTTTGCTTCAGAATATCTAGATAAGTTCAGACTGTAATGGGTTCTTCAAGAGCAGCGGATCGCAAATCATCGCTCGAGGATGCCAAGCTTCCTCACAGAATGCCTTAAATTACAACCCCGAACCAGACCAAGATCTCAGAAATTAGGGTCATAACCAGAAACCAGGTTCTTCAAGAGAGAACCGAGTTATTTTCAAATTTAGCCCCAAACCCAGGTTCTTAAATTAGAACCGACTATTTTGTAGGTTGTTGGGGGTCTAGGTATGTATATATATATATATATATATATATATATATGTATATACGCCCTCTTCAGATTGGCATGATCTGACTTGTGGGTATACGTCTAAACCCTAATTGCCGTTTTTGCTACTTTGCGGAACTTTCGACACCGATGGCTCCGGAACTATAATACTGCATTCCATTACAAAATGTCTCCCAGTAGTGCTCTTGCGACTTCGACGTCTACCAGAACACCTGCAGCACAGTGACGAGCGGGGCCGGGTCCTGGCACTTGATGTCCGGCAGCGCCGTGCGGAATGCATACTTGTCGGGAAGCCGCTCCTTGCCTGTACAGGCTACAGTAGGACTGGCTGGGACCGGAAGTGAGCTGCACGAGCACAGGGAAGAGCAGCGACAGTCCACACCTCCGTCGGCATGCTGGCATCGCATGAGCTCCGCGCTGCTCGAGGCGCCCCCAATGTACAGCAAGGTGAGCAGCTTCAGCACTAGGCTGACACCTGCAAAGTGCTGCACCCCTTGCTGACTAGGGTCTCGTGGCATCGGCCATTGCGATCTGAGCCCGCTGCCGCTTCCCTGGGAGGCCACCTCGGGGAGAATGCAGAGCACCAGCAGCGCCAGTGGCACGCAAGGCGCAGCCAAAGCCATGACATCGTTCGCTGTCCTGACTGCGTGGACATGCGCGGCACTGAATTCCGAGCTGCTGTGAGCTTCAAGGCAGGTCCTTCCGAACCAGCACTCGAGGCTCGTCGCATCGCGAAAGCCTTGCGCAGTGAGCTGGAGCCACTGGACACACTCCTGAGCCCGAGCAAGCACGGAGGACTTGCTTTCAAGCGCTGATGAAGGGGTCGCTCGAGCGCACAGCAACGCCGACTCTCCTCCGCCCACAAGCCATCAGTCCGCGAGGGTTCGTCACCAGATTCTCGGTCAGATTCCAAGAGGGCCATCAACAGCCCCCAGAGCTGGAACAGCTGGAGCAGAACCGGGCCCTGTGCGGCCAACAAGGGCTGCATCACCTGGAGAAGTGTACTAACCGGCTCTCTGTCACTGGCAATAACGAGAGCAGTACGGAATCAGTAACGTTACCAGAGGTATGCAGCCATCCATGCTTGGCCGGTGACGCTCCACAGGGTCGGCTCGAGCGGGGTTGTCGCGGGCTGGCTGCGGCTCCTTCAGCGACAACTGAGTGGCTCATGCTCTCTGTCTCTGTCTCTCTCTCTCTCTCTCTCGCTCGCTCTCTCAGTTTCCGTCCCTCCCCCAAGGCATGTCTGCCATCTGCTGCTGCTTGCGCACATGGTCATATCTTTTGCAGGAACATTCTGCGAAGCTCTGGCCTTCGCCACACGAAGATGACGGCACCGAGCACTCCGGCGAGAACCGCGGCCCCGGCCACCCAACGCAAGTACAGCCTGGCCGCTGGCCATGCGCAGCTCTAACAGGCTGACTGGTGAGAGGATTCTTTTCAGAAGGCACTCAACCAAGCATGTTCGGTTCAGAAGTTCAGAACAGCTAAAATTGGGGGCGTGTCGTCCGGGAGGCCAGCGCGTGTCCGCATCGCGGGCCACTTCGCACGGAACGCAGACGCCGGAGCGGCTGCGGTAGCCGCTGGAGCAGGCCACGCAGAGCGGGCCCTCGTGGCCTCGGAGGAACTTCTTCACTACTTCTTCACTATACTGTATATACATCTGCATCCTCCTCTATACTGGAAATCCCCTGAGCGTTTGATGTGCGGCCCGGTGGCCGGCGGCACAGCCCAGAGCCGTGCCTTTCCCGGTGCCATTCACTGAAGAAGCGTGGCAGCGCTCCTCTGCCGCCGGCTCCAAGCACCTGGCGAGGCAACGACGAGGGAGCCAAGCGCCTCCAAAGCGAAAGCCTGGCTGGTGCCTGTAAGCACGCCGAGCTCGGGCTTCCAGGCGCGCGAAGCCCACCTGCGCTGGGCTGAATTCACCCCTCGATCTTCGCAATCCGAATATTTTTTAAAAAACCGCAAAGGAGAAATCATTGCAGGCCTGCGGTGGCGCCGAGCTCGCTTCGAGGCCGTTCTGCCGGCAGTCCTCTCGAGTCCAAACAGCACAGCTTTCCTTCCTGCAGCCTCAAGAAGCCCTTCTTGGATTTCTCGCTACATGCAAAACAACTGGCCACAACGTGCAGTTCAAGCGGCTACAGCGGTTACAGGCCATGCCTCGATCACAGCACTCTTGTTTGAGCACCCATTGGGACGGAATGGGTGGAGGAATTGCAATACAACGGGGCGCGGGCATGCGTAGAAACTCTTGCGTTCCAGGTCGTACACCTGTCTGAGATAGTCACGCACGATAGCCCGTGGCCTGAGTAAATCCTTCTGATTCTGGCTTCGGGGCAGGGACTCCTCTACACACTGCTGCAGCTCCAAAGCCGAAACCGCTCTCCCTCAAAATTTTGTCCTTTAATCACAAATCTACAAATCGGATGAGGCATATGACAGCCCTATATGCACACAGCACTCGGTCCAAGTGTAGCTCCCCGCAGTCTTCGCAGACGTCCCTCGGAAGCGGAGGTGAGGTCTGGGAAACATTCAGAGACCTATTATGTCCGACCGTGCTGACTACTTCGATGTGCATACTTCAAACTGTTTTATGGTGCAAGGAGTTGGAGACGGTTCGGGATTGGAGTGCTCATCCATACGCCTTTGAATCTCGCGATGCACAGCCAAGGGTCCGGTGTAGCGCCTTCGAAGCATCGCACTGGCAATCGTGCCCAGACCCAGACTTCGACGAATGCATCCTGCGGCAGGTGGAAGACTGGTCGACATAGAAGCATAAGTGGAGGACATACTGAAACCTCCCCGACCTGTCCTGCCGACTGTGCAGACGCAGCTGAAGACGGAGGTGGCCCCAGCCGGTGCGGCGCTGCTGTTGGGGCACGGCATGCAACTGCGATTGAAGTGCGCATTGTAGGTGTCCGGCTCGCACTGGTGGCACGAGGTGCCGTTCCCTTCAAAGCCCTCGCTGCAGGCGCAGAGGCCTTGGGGCCAAAACGAGGACGGAGACACCCGCAAGGACGTGGATGTGATGCCGTAACACTCGAAGCCCTTCGAGCGATCGCTTTGGGTCAGCTGATCAGTTCTGTGCAAAACTCCGTCATGGAACAGCGTGGCTACATCGTCCGCGTTGGAGATCTTGGTGGCCGTGACATCCAGCTGCAAGTTACGCCTTAGATCTAGCCGGGCTCTGCAACCCACCTGTGCAACTACGTATTAGCCAGGCATGAAGACAATTCTAAAATATACGTTTGTTTGGAACAAATAGCCTGTATGCCCTGTAGCTGTCATATAACCGAAGATAAAACCATCGTACAGGCCCGGTATGGCCGTGCGAAATATACGTGCGCAAAACATTATATGATGTACGCGGCCCAGGACAATCCAGGGCAGGGTTCGATAGATACCACGCAAAAGATGCGTTTTGAACCTGCCAAGCTGCAAGTTGTGCAAGGCTTTCACGTCAACGTACATCTCCGAGTTGTTCGCCAAGGAGACATAGACGTTGGCCGGGATGCCCTCGACACGGTGGATCTGGTTGCCCGCCAACTCCAACCCTTGCAGGGAGCTCTGTAAGCCACGCTCGCGTATCCCACAATGTTGCCCGTAGTGCTCGCCGTCCACGTCTACCTGCTGCAAGCAGCCCTTCACCAAACTGCCGCAAAGGTTCGCGCCATTGGCGCGGATCGAAGCCAAGCGTTGCGCGAACGAGAAGGGCTCCAACAGATTCTGCACAGGGCCATCCAGCGGACACAGCGAGACCTTGGATGCAAGAAACATCAAAAGATTCACTTTCTACCTTGGGACCTTGTTTTCAAAAAAAGCATCGACTTGCGAGTGTTGGCCAAGCCCATCCAATCCCTGAAGCGCAGCCAGGCAGCATCCAAGTTTGCAAGAGCTGGAAGGAGCTGGCGGGTCTCGTTGGTGAAGAAGGTCGCTCGGAGGTCTTCGAGGTCACTTCCGACGGGCAGGAAGTTCACCCGGCTCCCCTCGGCTTCATCGGGACGCGCCCAGGACAAAATATGCTCAGAGGCGAAGGGATGTACATGGGGCCTTGCTCTGAGGCCCGGTCTTGGAGCTTGAGCGTGTGGAGCTGCAGGAGTTGGCCGCGCCAGGCGGATGTCAAGCGCCCAGTAACGTGCGTGAATCTCAGATCGGCCTCCAAGACGGACGATCAGGGGTGCGGCCGCGGACTAGGGCCCGAGAAAACATGGCAATGCTACGTACAGGCAACACATCTCGTGCCCGTGCCTCTTCTAGACTCGTCAGATGGATTAGCTTGGTGATAGGGCCCTCCACGGCGGTATTTGCTATGATCAAACGGTGCAGCTCCGCCATGTTGGCAAGAGATTCCAAGTTACCGCTTACCTTGGTGCTATCCAGCGATAGCTTCTGCAGCTCACCCATCCCGCCCAAAGCCCGCAAATCTCCGGTTACGCCGGTGTTCTTCACCAAGAGCTCCTTCAGCTTCGTGAGGGTGGAAAGCGCTTGCAGGTCACCGGCCACCTTCGTACCATCCAACCACAGCTTCTGCAGCTCGCCCATCCCGCCCAAAGCCTGCAAGTCTCCGGTTACGCCGGTGTCCGCAAGAAACAGCTCCTTCAGCTTCGTGATCTTGGAGAGCGGTTTCAGGTCGCCGGCCACCTTCGTACCATGCAGCCATAGCTTCTGCAGCTCGCGCATCTCGCCCAAAGCCCGCAAATCTCCGGTTACGCCGGTGTTCTTCAGCAAGAGCTTGTTCAGCTTCGTGAGGGTGGACAGTGGTGTCAGGTCACCGGCCACGTGCGTACCATCCAACCACAGCTTCTGCAGCTCGCCCATCCCGCCCAAAGCCTGCAAGTCTCCGGTTACGCCGGTGTTCGTCAGCAAGAGCTCCTTCAGCTTGGTGAGCTTGGACAGTGGTGTCAGGTCACCGGCCACGTTCGTACCATCCAACCATAGATGATGCAGCTCGCCCATCCCGCCCAAAGCCTGCAAGTCTCCGGTTAATCCGGTGTCCGAGAGATATAGCTGCGTTAGCTTCGTAAGCTTGGAGAGTGATTTCAGGTCACCAGCCACCTTGGTACCATGCAACGATAGCTTCTGCATATCGCTCATCCCACCCAAAGCCTGCAAGTCTCCGGTGACTCCGGATTTCTGGAGCAAGAGCTCCTTCAGCTTCGTGAGGGTGGAAAGCGGTTGCAGACCACCTGCCACTTTCGTACCATCCAGCCATAGATATTGCAGCTCGCCCATCCCGCCCAAGTCGTGCAAGTCTCCCGTTACGCCGGTGTCCGAAAGAAATAGCTGCCTCAGCTCGATGAGCTTGGAGAGTGGTTGCAGTTGACCGGCCACTTTGGTACCGTGCAGCCATAGCTTCTGCAGCTCGCGCATCTCGCCCAAAGCCCGCAAATCTCCGGTTATGCCGGTGTTCTTGAGCGCAAGCTCCTTCAGCTTGGTGAGCTTGGACAGTGGTGTCAGTGAGGGTGGAAAGCGGTTGCAGATCACCTGCCACCTTCGTACCATCCAGCCTTAGATATTGCAGCTCGCCCATCCCGCCCAAGTCGTGCAAGTCTCCCGTTACGCCGGTGTCCGAAAGAAATAGCTGCTTCAGCTTCGTGAGGGTGGAAAGTGGTTTCAGGTCACCGGCCACCTTGGTACCATGCAACCATAGTACCTGCATATCGCTCATCCCGGCCAAAGCCCGCAAATCTCCGGTTACGCCGGTGTTCTTGAGCACAAGCAGCTTCAGATTGGTGAGCTTGGACAGTGGTGTCAGGTCACCGGCCACGTTCGTACCATCCAGCCGTAGCTGCTGCAGCTCGCCCATCCCGCCCAAAGCCTGCAAGTCTCCGGTTACTCCGGTGTCCGAGAGATATAGAATCCTCAGGCTTGTGAGATTCGCAAGAGGATCCAGTCTGCCGCTGATGGGTCTCCCATCTAGATCCAGCTTCCACACACAACCGTCCTGACGGAAGTGGACTCCTCGCCACTGCTCGGGACCTCCGGTGAGCTCTTCGGCCGGCACTCCGAGCATCTCCAAGATGCTGTGGAGCGTTTGCGGGGACGGGCCTTGCAAGGGCAGTCGGGAAAAGGTGCTGGAAGGAGCAGCGAGTGAGCGAGCACGGAGTCCGACATCTGGAGCCCAGTGACCCCAAACAAACGTTCAGCCGAGCATCAATCTCCGGATCCTTTTCGTCTTCGGCCCGCTTGCTGCTCCCCATAGCTGTCCTCCGGTGTTTCTTTACGTACACCCTAACGACGGGTTCACAAGAGGAACCTAACCCATAGTCTCCATTGCTGTTCCTGCTTTTGGTTAACCAGTTTTATGGTTAGGATCCTATAATAGACATTTTGGTTAGCCAAAAAAGGAACTACAATGGAGACTCTAGGTAGAACATCGGAATCTTCCGAGAGACGCCGGACCTCGAGGATGAGCGCGGATCGGGCATTTTCTCGGACGGCCTCGACTCCAGACCCACGGCAAAGCAATGTGACTTCAGGATACTTCAGGGTTTGACTTAGGGAATGGTAGGGTTCCCTTTAAGGGGGTCTATAAGGGTTACTATAAGGGATCTATACTTACCTTTGGTTAGTAGGGAATGGAGGAATGGGATACAATAACTACTATTACTACCATTCTTCCATTCCTTACTAACCAAGGGTAAGTTGAAGCTGCACACCGTGAAGACGCAGCGTCTGCCTTACAGTGGATTTCTTTTGTGTGTGCGTTCAGCCTCAATTCTGAGAAACAGAGAGACGAGGTGCCGCCCCGGAGTCCAGGCGCACAGCCAGCAGCGTGGCAAGGCACAGGGCCAGGAGACGCATGCAATCGACGGGGATCTTCTAACTTCCCCCGTATACACCCACCATGACAAGTCTCGAAGGAATGTCCCCACACGTTGCATCAAAATGTGAGGGCCATAGGGCCCGATTATGTATACAGCAGTTTTGCAGCACTAGGTGGTCGCATGAATGTTTCCCTGATCCGTCTTTCATGGAAGCTCCAACTTTAGGAGCCTCCTCGAAGCCGCAGAGCGCCGTTTCAACCATACGTGCACACGTACAACCGCAAGCTAACTCTGCTGAGTTCATGATGCGAATGGTCACACTTAGACTTGCGGGGCATCTTTTTGGCGTGATGCCGCCTCACCGCCTTCGTTCATCTTCAGCTGGTCTGGTCCTTCGTCTCCTGTGGCTTTCATCCGGTGCTGGGGTGCGAGCAGTAGCAGGACAAGCACGTGGGGCCGTTGTTTGGGCATGGTGCGGAGCTCTTGTTAAGGAACTTAGTTTAACTTACCAGAACAAGGAAACTGTCTTTTTTTCTATAGATCTCTATTATGGTCACTTAACATATATACGTTTCACGATGCCACAAACGAGCCAACACAGCTTCACGACCGCGGAAGAAAACCTGTTTGTCGTCTAGCGCCGGCACTCTTGACCTGGGTTTAGGGCTTGTAGGGGTTGGGGTTTGGGGGGTTTGGGGCTTTGAGGGTTTAGGGTGCACACAGAAGCTTCAAGTTGGTGGCAAGCCTCGTGGCCGCTGCTTCCGGCGATCGTTGGGCTCGAGAGGGGCACCCATGGAGCCGCAAAGAAAGAGCTTTGGGGCATGCCAAGTAACAAGTGCGGAAGTTTCCCTTGCAGTCATGATCCGGCGCTGATTGCTGAAGAGCTCAAAAGAACATCCCGCCTTCCACATCGCATCTGCTTAAGAATCCAGATTCTGCAGGAATGGCTCTGAACCGCAGACTCAAGGAACCTTGCAAGCAGAGCCTGAACCCTAAACCCTAAGCGGAGCCACATGCCCGATCCATGCAGCCGAAGTTTCCCCTGCCTCCAACCGAATTGAAACTCAAGGCGACTTGGTCTCATCTTGATTGGAGTCAATTCTTGGCCTGAGAATGTCAGTGTATTACATAGGGATATTCCAACATGTCCGGCCCCCTCTGACCTCTATGGCGACTGTGAGAGTTACGGATTCTGGGTGTAGAACACTGGCGGCCTTTTGCCTCGATCCCCTTGCTTTTGCTGCGTTGGTAACCACTGGGCAGCGCAGGATTCCTGCGCTACGGATGATGTTGACTTAAGGGTCGGGGAGGTCTGGTAATTACTCTTGTAACCCCTGCACCCTAAATTCCTTCACCAATATTGGCCATTACCGCTTGCAGCCGCTTCACATAGAAGCATAAGCCTTAAAATGGGCCTCTATCCTTTAGCTATGGGGAATTTGGAATCGCTCGAAAAGTTGCCTCCGACTCCGAAGTGCAGCCTTGACTCACTGTGAGCCCACAGAGCCCAACCCTTCAGGAATACATACTGTTCACAATTACGGCTGCTATGGTCTACGGCATTTATTCCTTCATTAACGTTGCGGCGGCGCCTCCCCTCTCCTTGGGTCGTGAGGTCGGGCTCCCGAGGCCCACCAACCCTTTTCAAGTGGAAAATCACATGTGCAAATGTCATATGTGCGTCTAGTGTATGCACATGCATACACACTTACATATGTATGTATGTATATATATATATATGAACATATATACATATACATACATATGGATAGATAGGTTTGGAAGGCGGCTCCTTCAAAGGGTCCTATAAGGGTTTCATCAAGGATGTTAGTAAGGGGCTTTAAAAGGTTTGTAGTTAGTATGGTTTTATTATTGTAGTCCGCTTATTGTCGTATTAGTACAGTATTAGCCTTTAGTTTATCAAGGATTGAATATGGCACTATCATGGTATTAATCTTGTAGTACTCTTATCAGAGGGAGAGGTGCTGGGCTCTCTGGGTAAGGGCTTCGGAAGCTTCGGGGGCTCGAGCCCTTCCCGCAGAGGCCCGAAAACGCCGGAACGGGTCTGGGCATATTTGACGTATTATAGTTCTAGATTGCTGATAGGGTTTAGGATGGTTTAAGGGTTCAGGGTTTAGGATGATTTAGGGATGAAATTAGGACTCATTCATCGGGGCAATGTGCCACTTCCAAGGAGTCTGAGGACAACTGTGCTTCCAGATATGAGGGTTAGGGTTCGCGACTAGCTCTCGGCAAACCCTGCGCAATCTGATTTTACATCGACTCGCAACTGGCTTCATGAATCATGCACGGATCTACTGGAAACGGCTTCAACCAGCCGGAGCATCGCAATGTCGACAAGACCACTAGGAGAGACCACAGCAATAAAGAACAACCGCAAACACTATCCTGCACACAAACGACCCTACACAAAATCACAGCTGTTGTCCTGCAGACAAGCCGATGACTGTTTCATGCATTTCGGAGACGCAGAGATATCGGAATCTGGACGAATGGGAAGCAGATAGCACAAGGTTCCGGAATGTCTGGAAGACATCAAAAAACACAAGTGAGATCTCCGTCGGCTCAAAAAGAGGGATCGCAGATCTGTCGTGGCTAATGCCACGGAACAGAAACATGCATTGGAGAGTGGGCCGAGTGAGCAAGGACAACTGAATGAGGGCGGACTGAACGGACGATGCCCTTTCTTGACCCTCTGAGACCCTACACATGGGCAGTTGTCAAAACTATGGTCCCTTTCGGGGTATCCTAAATATTAGGTGCCGTACTATAATGGGGAACAAAAAATGTCCCAAATTTTGACAACCACCCACATGGTTTGACAAGAGCGTGCAGCAGACTCTGACTGCCCTAAGAGTCGCGATGCATTCTTTCCTGTTGCCACGGCGCTGGATGTGTAAGATACTTCTTCATTGCAATCAACGATGCCGTCACTGTTTGCTTCAGCTGTAGGACATATATGCCCTTGAAAAACCCAGGCGTGCAAGTCTCGGCAATACATAGACTGATGTCTTCGCACACTGTGCTACTACTACCGACCCTGCCACTACCTGCCAATTTGCAGCACGACTGTGACCACGACCACTCTGCTATTGCTACTCCTGCTACTTCTGCTTCGTCTTCTTCTTCTTCTTCTACAACAACGGAGACGACGATGACGACTACAACTAGAACTACCACCACCACTGCCATTTCTAACACGCCGAGTTCTGGCACTACAATTTCCCCTACTCGTAACATTACTGTTGCTGCTTCTGCTTCTGTCACTGTTCCCACGACGACGCCGACGACGACTTCCACTGCTGGTACTGCTAGTCCGACTCCGGGGCTACTTGGAGGTTCATGGGTAGTTATAAGTAGGGTTATAAGTAGGGTAACTATACTTATAACCCATATGGGGGGACTTATAGCCCTACTTATAACTAGCCATGAACCTCCAAGTACTGCCATTGCGGATGCGACTGCGAAGCTGCTGCTGCTACTGCCACTGCGGCTACAGGTGGACTAGACTCTTGCCAAGACGGCGATGATGACGACGACTAAGGCTTCGACTACGACCATGGTCAATGCCGACCGACAACCACTACGACCTCCACGAGTTTTGGTACATAAGTTTGTGGGCGATGCCTCTGTGCTCCAATCCATGCTGTCCGGGTGTGGTTCAAGCGTTGTAAATCCAAGTCTTCTGTGGCGGTTGTTTGAGAATCTAGGTCGTCCATGCTGCGCTCCAGCGAAATCTGCGAATTTTGCTGCTGGGCGCATCAGCACTTGCAGCACTGCTGCCCTCGTCGCTCTCGCGCGTCTCTCATGATGCTTTTGAAGCGGCCGCCATCCACGTAGTCCCGGAAGTAGTCCTGAATGAACTGCGTCAGCTTTACTGGGGCCTGTTCTTCTTCACGGCGCATGGCTGAGCCAACTTCCTCTGCCTTCGTCCGGATCGACTGCGAGTTAATGCACTCGTTGATTGCTGCAGCGATTGTCGAGGGTGTCTGATGCCGAAGATGCTTCAGGCCTTTTCCGATGCCCATCTCATTGATCTTTCTTGAATGGTCATACTGGTCTAACAAAATCGGTATGATGATGGTTGGTTTCCCCGAGCGGACGGAGGCATTCATGGTTCCTGCGCCACCATGGTGAACGATGGCCTGGCACCGCGGGAAGAGGAGGCCGTGAGGTGACTTGGGCATGAAGAGCACGTTGCGATTGATGTACTCAGTCAGCTCCAACTCGTCAGCTTCACCTTCCACATGCTGCAGATCTATACCCGCCCAACCTGCACAGATCACGCCACGCAGGCCGGTAAGGTGCAAGGCACGGGCGCAGAGCAAAGTCATATACTTGGGCGTGAAGACCTTCATGGACCCAAAGCCGATGTAGACCGGAGCATCCCCCTGGGCGAGAAAGTCTTCCATCCTGGGATTCTATTTTGAGTTACCATCATAAGGGAACCATCGTCTATTATGTACTACGGACATGGCAATTTAGATACACTAAATTGGGGAAACCATAGTATGTACTAGAGAAATGGCAACTTAAACTAAATTCCGACTTAACGAATTCACAAGAGCCCAGCTTCTGCTGCATCTGGTCGCTGCCAAACTCATGCCCTGACTGACTGCTCGGCGCCAGCATGAGCGGACCAAGCGAAACGACTGTTTTGTAGTGCTTTCCCCAATCATCGCCATTGATGACTGTACTTTGTGCGACAAGATTTGGAAACACTGCTTGTTCTGACCAGTGCTCCAGCCAAGGTTGCGTTGTGATCTTTTTGGGCATGGACTTGCGCAGCTCCGGAGGCAAGACTTCCGGGATGCAGTCTAGCTCCTTCCGTTGCATCTTGAGGATCATTGACATCATGAACATGTTGAGTTGCCAGTTCAGAGGTTTCAATAATCGCGGAAGGTTGATGCTGGCCATGTTCCAGTCACGTCCCGCCGGTGTCTGAAGAGCGAAGTTCACGAAAGGGATGTCGTCGAAGATCTCGCTGAAGATACTGACCTCGATCAGGGTCATAAAGGCGGTGAGAACGAGCTCTGGCTTGAAAGTCGAGAACAAATCGTAGAGAGCCTTCCTCTCCGCAATCATCTCATCTCGGTCAGACCTTACCGGTACTGTGGGCATCTTCTCGTGGCTGATGGCATCAGAGAATTTGTCGGGCCAGTTCCGGAGGATGCTCTGACGAACGCGTTGAAACGGAAGGTCATGGTCAGCGGCCATCCCTGCAGCATCACCTGGGCCACACAGATGCACCTCGTAACCAGCTTCACGCAAGATGGTGCCAGCAACAACATACGGCTGCCAGTCACCTCTTGAACCGGTGTAGACGATGAGGATACGCCTGGGTGTGGAGGAGGTCGCCATGGAGCTGGACCGGAAAACTCGAGAGCGTACAAGAGAGCCAATGAAACTTCGGCACCACTTGTTTTAGATTATTCGCCCTCGGACTTCGCGCCCTGACCTCTACCTCTCGAGACCTTATAAATTTAAAACGCACCTCCTAGTGAGAATGACAAAACACGCAATTGTTACAATGATTCATGCAGGCTATAGTATTAGTTATGGCAATAATCACGACTCACCCAGCCTAGCAACAGCGACATCAGCCGTAGCAAAATAACAACAGCAAGACTCCTGACGAACAACAATCACAGTAGCAGCAACCGTCATAATTACCGCCGTTGTAATCGCGTGCCCAACCACAGCAGTAACGACGAGAAAGGAGTAGCGATCACAGCAATCCCAAGAAAGATAAGAAGCACTATGAATAGTACGGCAGCACTACTCACTGCAGTGATCGCGAGACGAAAAAGAAAGCAACTCCAGTATTTTTAGGCCACTGAAGAACATATGGGTAATCATTGCAGTCCCACGACAGACGTGCGGCGGTGGTGGTAGTAGTGCTGGCTACAGTAGTACTGTGGCGGAGCAGCAGCAGCAGCAGCAGCAATAGCGGCAGCAGTGGCAGTGGCGGCGGCAATGACAGTAGCGTAGCAGTAGTCGTCGTCGCAGTAGCAGTAGTAGTACTTGGAGCCCTACAGGAAAGCTGCCCCCAAACCGCAAATCCTAAAGACTGGGCATACTTTGAGCCTTGCTGCGGCCACCACCGCATCCAGCTTCTCGCACGAAGGAGGAAAGAGCGACCTGGCCCAGTAATACCCTGTAGGTTTAGGATTTTGGCCTTTCTGTGTTGGCTGGATTGAGCGCTTGGGGTTTTACCCCGTTTGTTTGTGGGGTGTAGTCTCTATGTCAATAACTGAACGGTCGGAAGAAGGGCGGTCTCTGGAAAGCCCTGGCCTTTTTGGTCTCGTGGGACTTTGGCGCTTAGCATTTAAGATGATTTCAGGGCTGGGGGTTTGGTGGCTTGGGGTTTCCTAAGCCCTCTAACTCCTAAACGGGCTTGTGGTGTTGATCTCCGTTAGTATGACTTCTTTGTTGATCCGTCAGGATTTGGCCTGCTGTAAGCAGAGATTCGGCGCTCCAGGCGAGTCACAATGCAGGGGCGCTGACAACTAGAACAAAGGTTTTCGGGCATACTAAAGAATACAGCTATAACTGTAAGAAACACTAAGAATAGCTCTGAGCATTTTCACGCCTCTACACTAAGTCCGCATAGCCTGTGGAGGATGAGAGGAGAGCTACTCCAAACACAACTTGTGGTTATGGAGTTGGAGTTTGGGAGTTCAGATCGTCAAACATTGTCGTTGCAAGTTCTACGGCTTTCAGAAACTCAGCGCTTAAGCTTTCGATCTATCAGTTTGCACGGTTGTGGGGTTAGGTTTTGTATGTTTGGCGCTTGAGGCCAAGAGTTCAGGGTCTGAGGGCTGGGATCAAGGTTCCCAGAGACTCCAATATCCCTTAATTAAGGAATATTCCTTAAATCATGGTAGGACCCCTTATATCATTTAAGGTATATTCCTTAATTAAGGGATATTGGAGTCTCTGGGTTTAGGGTTTCAGTTTCGGGCCCCTAATCCGTGCCGGACCCCTGCACATACGCGGCAAGCTTCTCTGGCCTCGCACGAAACTGAAGACGTGTCCGCTTGGAGTGGCCCAGACTAAGGACATAGCTTAAGGCACTTGGATGAAAGCAAAGGATGAGTTCAGAGCCTCTGGCTACTGTAGATGCATTATGTGTGGGTACATACATATGTATGTATGTATATATGTATATATACATACGCACAGAAATATTCATCTGTATATATATATATATATATATACCCCGGGGCCCGTCGCAGCCCTCTGACGATTCCCCTCCTCTTAAGGTGTGTGGACCCCCGGGGCGGCACTAAGGGCTGCCTTCCAGGCCCGATGAGCACCCACACCTTGTATCGTCAGCTGCGGCGGGGTGACAGTGCCCCCTCCATTGGCTCCTTAAATTCCAGGCCTCCTCGCCCATCTTCTTGCCAGTCCGCGCTCATCCATCCGTTCAGCCGCCTCCCTAGTTTCCGCCATGCGCTCACATGTAGTGTCTACCTACTTGCGTGTATTCATTCTGCCTTTCGCTCCTTTGTCGCAATCCGGTATGCCTCTCTTCCCTCGCATCACCACCGAGCTGGCGGACATGATCACCTGCTGGTCGCAAGGGCCTTCGTTGACCGCCTCGATTGCCTACCGGATGGCCTTCCTCCCTCACTGCGCAACTTCAGCTGCGACCTGAGCTTCGCAGGCACTTCTCCGCGCTCCACGGGTTGGACGTGTGGCTCATTGCTCACAAGCATGGACCCTACACTGGACAACTTCACCGCTCACCTTGGCCGTATAAGACCTCATCACCGCTGCTCCCTGACATGCTCATGCGCAGCCCACTCCCCCTCGCGCCGACTCACAAGGGTCTGGTCAACCGACCTCTGCAGGTTACTTAGGTCGCCTCCACTTCCTCGACGAGTGTTTGCGTTATCTCACCTTCGCATCCACTCCCTCGAGTAGAATCCTGTGTCATCCCAGTCGGCCCCTCTCGCCGTTCCTGGGAGTCTGGGCATCCGATTCTTTAGTAACAGGCCCCTTAGGTTCGGCACCTCCTCGACGCGTGCCTACCAAGTCACCCCCTCCAGTCACACACAGGGTTCTGGGTAACCGACTTCTGTAGGTTTCCTAGCGTTGTCTCCTCTTCCTCGACGTGTGTTAGCGCTCTTTGAGAGCGGATAGTGAAGGACTCCCCCTGTCGTTCCAGACCCTGCTCGCTTCGACATCGGGGATCTGGGTGAACGACCTGCGTATGGACGTCGTTCCGCTTCATTCCATTTCGTCCACCACGCAGCTCCTCATGTCGTTCCAGACGCCCCTTCCCACCCCGAGGTGGCGGGTCTTGGTAAACGACCCGCGTATGGCCGTAGCTCCGCTTCTTTCCATTTCGTCCACCACGCAGCTCCTACGTCGTTCCAGACCCACCTTCCCACCCCACGAGGTGGCGGGTCTTGGTAAACGACCCGCGTATGGCCGTAGCTCCGCTTGTTTCCGTTTCCTCCACCACGCAGCTCTTCATGTCGTTCCAGACCCCTCTTCTCACCCCGAGGTGGCGGGTCTTGGTAAACGGCCCGCGTATAAGGCCGTAGCTCCGCTTCTTTCCGTTTCCTCCACTGCCTCCACCACGCAGCTCCTCATGTCGTTCCAGACCTCCCTTCCCACCCCGAGGTGGCGGGTCTTGGTAAACGACCCGCGTTAGGCCGTAGCTCCGCTTCTTTCCCTTTCGTCCACCACGCAGCTCCTCATGTCGTTCCAGAGCCCCCTTCCCACCCCGAGGTGGCGGGTCTTGGTAAACGACCCGCGTAAGGCCGTAGTTCGGCTTGTTGCCACAAATTGTCCACCACGCAGCTCCTCGTGTCGTTCGTGGCGGGTCTTGGTAAACGACCCGCGTAAGGCCGTAGCCCCGCTTCTTTTTTCATTTCGTCCACCACGCAGCTCCTCATGTCGTTCCAGACCCCCCTTCCCACCCACGAGGTGGCGGGTCTTGGTAAACGACCTGCGTATGGCCGTAGTTCCGCTTCTTTCAATTTCGTCCACCACGCAGGTCCTCATGTCGTTCCAGACCCCCCTTCCCACCCCGAAGTGGCAGGTCTCCGGAAAACGACCCTCGTCAGACCGTAGCTCCGCTTCTTTCCATTTCGTCCACCACGCAGCTCATCATGTCGTTCCAGACGCCCCTTCCCACCCCGAGGTGGCGGGTCTTGGTAAACGACCCGCGTATGGCCGTAGTTCCGCTTCTTTCCATTTCGGCCACCACGCAGGTCCTCATGTCGCTCCATACCCCCCTTCCCACCCCGAGGTGGCGGGTCTTGGTAAACGACCCGCATAAGGCTGTAGTTCCGCTTCTTCCCATTTAGTCCACCACGCAGCTCCTCATGTCGTCCCAGACCCCCCCGAGGTGGCGGGTCTTAGTCTTGGTAAACGACCTGCGTCAGGCCGTAGCTCCACTTCATTCCATTTCGGCCACCTGTCGTTCCAGACCCCCCTTCCCACCCCGAGGTGGCGGGTCTTGGTAAACGACCCGTGTAAGGCCGTAGTTCCGCCTCAATCCATTTCGTCCACCAGCAGCGCCCCTCATGTCGTCCCAGACCCCCCTTCCCACCCCGAGGTGGCGGGTCTTAGTCTTGGTAAACGACCTGCGTCAGGCCGTAGCTCCACTTCATTCCATTTCGGCCACCTGTCGTTCCAGACCCCCCTTCCCACCCCGAGGTGGCGGGTCTTGGTAAACGACCCGTGTAAGGCCGTAGTTCCGCCTCTTTCCATTTCGTCCACCAAGCAGCGCCCCTCGTGTCGTCTCAGTCCCCCCTTCTCTCCCCGGTTTGTTAAATCCCGGCCGTAGCTCCGCTTCTTCCATCGCGTCCACCACACAGCGCTCCCCAAGTCGTTCCAGACCCGCTTCTAGCTCCCAGATCGGGGACCTGGGTAAACGACCCGCGCACGGCAGTAGCTCCGCTTCTTTCTGTCGCAGTACGCATCGCTCCTCACGTCGTTCCAGACACCGCTTCTCGCAAGGCCGTATAGTCTCGCTCCGAGAATGTACGTTTCTCGTGAAGCCGTAGCCGCTACCCCGAGCTGATAACCCAGACTTGGGCCACTTCCGGCGGGTTTCAGGCTCCCCATTTCTTTCGGGACCAGTCCGTGCCGGTCTCGGCCTTCGTTTCCACTTATAGTCCAGACTCTAGTTCAAGCCCCCTCTGGAACCTCCCGCGGAGGGGGCCGATGACGCTTGCGGAGGCCCCCCGAGATGCTGGGCGGGGAAGAGTGGTGGAGGCCGCGGCTACTGCTGCAGGTCGAACCCTACCTACCTACCCTACCTACTTATATATATATATATATATATATATACACCTACAGAGAGAGATATGTGATGTATGTGTGTGCATGCCTAAAGTCCA